GCGCTGCCCAGGTGGTCACGCTGTACTGCTTTCAGTCGCAGTGGTGTTAGAATTGTCTTGAGCCATTTGGGACTTTGTTGGTGAAAAGGAGCATCTTTTCATCGATTGCAGGACACGGATACCAGATCTTCAGCGTGCTGGGGCTCTGCTTGAGGAAACGTTACCAGCCTGCCTGGAGCAGCGGGGGCTGCAAGGCTTGGGGGGTTGATTTAGCCGGTATAGCGAAGGTCTGGGTGCTGGTGGACCAGTGCGTGGCACTGCCTGAACTGGAATCCCTTTTGTACATCCGTGTGGCTACTAACGCGCTGCGGGACAGCTGCTTCTGCCCAGCCGGAGCAGCTGAAGCAGCCTCTGCTCTGAGTGTAGACAGGCCTCTGCCTGGCAGATCCTGCAGTAACCTTCATGGGGGCTTGAGGGCTTAGATGGTCTAGATAGAGAGGTGCTGTCTGTGGGGAGAGTCGCGGTCTTCTGTGGAGATGAGCAGGCTGGGTCGCACCCGTCCGTGCTTGGTTTTTAAGCAGATGCTGTCAGTCTGGAGATCAGGGCAGAGCTGGGCCTGGCAAGCCTGGGCTGGGCGTGAAGTTGCCTTGGAGATTGGGCAAGATTTTTAAGCACGGATTGAAGAGAGATCCTGATCTGTCCCAGTAATTATGTGACAGGTTAACCCTCATCTCGTAAACAGGCTTTCATCAGTTTCTCGAGAAGTCTGTGACGAGCGTTCTGTCATTAACCTCTGCTGAGTCTTTGTGTCTACAACAGATCTCTACAGGGACGCACACCAGTAAGGTTAATTGTAAACTGGGGGTTGGAGGTAGGGGAGAACGGCGGGAAAAGGATGCTCTTCTCCCCATGACTGAGGAACGCAGGGTCGCTTTGGTACTTTACAGCCTGGCAGGGGATTTATCTGAAGCGACAGAACTGCTTCCTTTTCCCTGAGACTCTCGCTTGTGTACAGTTCATGTGTCAAGGCAATTCTCCTCTGCAGACAGCTGGCAGAGCGCAAAGTTTAGTGGTATTCGCCTGCAGATGAGTCAGCAGAAGAGAAATAGCTTGCTCCTGTGAAGTGGAATGATCTTGTAGGCAAAGCAGCACATGTCAGTCACATCTGACCGTGCCAGCGCCTGCCAAGTTCAGAGGGACGACAGGGAGCCTGGGAGCTGTGGGTGCCAGAGGGGCCTTGCTGGTCCCGTGTGCCAGCCTTGCACTGACTCGGATCCCTAGTGGGGAACATAGCAGCTTTGGGCTGGAGCTCTTACCGAGTTGTTGCAGTAAGCTCTTGTTTTGCACAGGCTTCGAGTTTAAGTAACAGGATTTGTTGAAAAGCACTGGAAGGGGCAGAAGAAATCCTGTGACTGCCTGTAGATCTGCAGATAATATTCTTCAAGAAATTCCTCGGGACACCAAAACACGAAGAATGCAGAGGGGCCAGGTACTCATGCCATTGGTATGCTTAGGGCACAGAAATATCTGATCCACTTGCAGTGTAGTGTGAGGCGGGCAGTGCTCCAACAACACCAAGGCTAAACAAAACATCGGTACTGTCCAGGAAGATGCAGACAGCGAGATAAGGCTTTGGCTAAGCAAGAAGATTTGCTGCGCCTGTTCTGACCTTCTCCATCTGCCGGAGGTGTTAACTTTGGTGTTGTGGTTAAATTCCAGCTTGGGTGATGGTGTAGTTAACTCACACTAAGGGAGAAGTTTTAAATTCCTTCCCTGCCTATACTTTTTTTCTTTGTGGTGATCAATGCTTACCCTTCTTCCCTCCCAGAAGTGGCTGCGTTTCAGTGGGAGATGACTTTGAGTTTTGTAATATTACTTTCAGCAACGTTCTGGGTGATTTCTGAAGGCTGTTACTGCCACAGTTTAAAGAAAATTCCTGTATCTGCCTTCGACTGTTTCCCTTCCTTCATTCAATATCTGCACTTGGGAACTAAGAGAAGTGATTCCCTGATGGGGAAAGAACTCTTCTCCCATCTGGCAGTCAGCAGCTCCTCGCAGAGCCCGTACAAATCTCTCACTCTCTCTCTCTGTGAGCTAGCTGGCCGGTGATGCAAAGCGCTTCTTTGATACAGAGCGTGCACCAAAAAAAGAAGTTTCAGAAGCAAAGACTGGAGTGTTTTGTAAGGTGGCGCAGAGACTGTGATTTGCCCATGGCTTTCCCAAATGGGGCACTTCCTAACTTTGCTCCTGGTGAGCAGTTGCTCATATTCTCAGTAATGCAGGAGGGTGATGCCTTAGACAAAACAGAACAATGCTAATATTTAACAGCAGGGGACTTTCTTGTGGTTATGCCTAGGTTTTTGTCTTGGAGTTTTTCAGAATGAGCTTTGAGAGCTATCTTCTCTTCCCCCTGCCCTATCTGCTGCAAAGGTAATTCATTTTAGAACAGTCCGTGTTTTATGTATTGGGGGAAGCAAAGCTGTGTGCTCGTGTTAAGCTCAGCTACGGATACCGGATGCTGTTGTTAGTAAGGAGTTGGTTGGGATGCTATTTCAGTCATTTGGGTCAAAACGAAGCATTCTGAGATCAGTAGCTTTATCGCAGAAAGGTATGGTTTGTTTTTAAAAACAGCGTGTTCCCAGTTTTTAATGAAGAAGAGTTTGGTGCTGGGAGGATTTCCCAGAAGCGCAGTAGCCACAGGATAGAGGTTTTAAAGCTCTGGAGAGAGGTAAAATTATTGTTTAATTTCTGCATTAATTTGAGTCATTAGCAGAGCTGCATCACTCATGAGGTGCCCAGCCCAGTCACCTGGGCACTGCACAGGCTCCTTCAGCAGCACCTAACGTGTAACGTTGGAGCAGATAGAGCGTGTTTACGGCGTCGGTGAAGCTGGTTTCTCCCTTCGTACATCAGGTACAGCCGCTACTGCTGCGGGGTGGCTGGTGCTGTCTGACCACTGCTGCTGCTTCAAGGCAAAGCAAATCCATTTGCTTAAGCTATTGTTTGCCATCATCTGACTACATATTCCCTGAGAAGTGGAAAAGTGAGTTAAGGTGGAGGAAGGCGGATGGTGAGGTGTACGAGGGGTCGGAAGAAGCTGTTGGCGATTTCTCCTGGGCTCGGACAGTGCTGCTGTGCATCAGGGTGAAGCGCGGCGTTGCCCTGTGCTGTGGCCTGCAGTTCTTTGGCTGGCCGTCAGCTCCACCCCAGCGGCAGGACGCTGGCGATAACTCAGCAGAGAGTGCACTTGTGCGCAGAGAAGTCTGTTTGCTCTGATGGGCCAAGCGGACTTGGGGAGGGCTGTACCTGCTGGTGCGTGGAGGCTGCTGCGTCCGTACTTCAGCACTGAAGCCTCTGCCCATGCTTTATAACGTTTTGCTGGGCAGCGGCTCAGAATGGCTGTGTTCAGCACATTAACGGGCCTTTGAATTCCCACTGAAGGGAAGGAAAGCGAGTGATCAGAGACCCGCAGATGACTTGAAGCACAGTGGAATTATTTTGACCAAATAACAAGAAAATCTGCTGCTGTTTCCGTGAACGCTGGGGTTACTTGAACCAGAGACGGAGGTCTGCTGCCTTTTGTGAGCTGGATCGTTTCTGCTAGGGCGATGGTGGTGAAGTAGATAACTGGTACGGAGTGTGTTTGCAAGCTGGCACCTTGCAAGACTAAGAATTACTTGTGTCATACCCTGCATCTTCACAGAGGCACTCTGGAAGCTGCTGCATTTATAGCACAGATCTTGCCTGAAAGTTAATTGTTTGCTCAAGTGTTTGAAGAGTTGGAGCTCAGGGCTGCAAACTCTTTTTGCCTGAGATTGGTTTTGCGCACTCCCATATGTTTGCTTGTTGTTTGGAAGTAGTAAATTAATTACTGAAATGAGGGAAACTGGGCAAACTTGTCTCACAGGCATTGCGGAGTGAGTGCAGGATGTCTCATGTGGTTCTGAAATGTCCTTGCAGCTGCTCTTCACTGTCACTTTTGTCTTCTCCCCAATATTTTTTTGGGTCCCTACTCAGCTAAGATTATTTTTTCCTGTTCTCAGTGCATTGTGTTAGGTCTGGCAGAGCAGTCTGCGGTACCCATATGCGTGTAGCCCAGAGCCAGTTCAGCTGTGTTTGGCCCTGATGCCGTTCGTCAGGTCTCATCTTGTTGATGCTGGGTCGGGAGAGCAGTATGTTCGCGTGTTATTAATCTGTGTTTGACTCCTTACTTTGGAACATTCCTTAACTTGGAGTCATTAGTGCCTGAGTGAGTCCAATCACTAAAACTGCTTCTTAACAGCTCTTTCACAAAGCCCATGTTTCTTGGTTTTTGAACAGCAGAGCTTGGCCCGGCAGCCCTTCCTGAGGACAATCCCAGCTTCTCCTGAGCAGGAACGCTGGGCAGAGACCCTCTGCCAAGGGGAGGGGTGGTGTTCCAAGGGGCATCTGCCCGTTGTCACACTCGCACTTGCCCCATCTAACGTGTTCCAGCACACCCACTGCACATGGGTGGGGAGACATTTCGAATTCCACACGGCTCTTATTATTAGGGTGTTGAGGCATGCACATAAGCATCATTCCTGGGCAGAGGGATCATGCTGCTCTCAGAAACGGTGGGTCAGAAGTGCTATTTGCTGCACTGGAGAGCTGCACACTTCAAGTTAGCAAAAGAGATAATGCTGCTCCATAGTTACAAACTTTGCAAATCTAGCACCCATTTCTAACTCCTGCAGCAGCTGATGAGGGGATGTTTGCTGCCATGCCTTTCCCTGAGTCCCTAGCTTTGCTCAGCTCTGTGAAGTGCTGGGCTTCCTAATGCTACAGGGCCCTTTTGGGAAGGGACTGGTGACTCCAGATCAAAAGCAAGGATAGCTTACTTCCAGGTAGCTGTCACGATTTCTGTCCCAGTCTGGTAGTCTGTATGTCTGTCTGTTTACCACAGCAGCGATTCAACTGAACCACCACTAATTACAACCTGGTACATAAAGTGCCAGCAGTAAGTGTGCCCTAATGTGGTGTCAGCAGCTGCTTTGCTGTTGGCTGAGTCACCACTGCAGTGGGGACAAGGGACGAGAGGGGAGCATGGTGGCAGACATCCCAAGGTGAGCTGTCCCCACTGGGGAGCTGCAGCTTGGGCTTGCGCAAACAGCAAAGCAAACAACAAGCCAGCTGGTTATTTAAGCTATGACCATGGCTTGTACCCCTTCCCTCACCCTTGTTCCTCTGCTTAAACCTGCTCCTTCCTCTCTTCAGGATTGTACAGGGATGCAGCACACCCCACCACCTGTCTTGGTGGGTGATGGGGGGCGTGCAGAAAGGTAGAAGAGCGTTTGCATTCATCAAAATGAGAGCTGGGGGAGGGCTGAATGCGGATTGGGCATGCCTTAATCCTTAGGTTGCTTTTCAGATGCTAAAATAGCATAATTAGCCTTGTAGTAAGGATTTATAACTTGCATTGCAACTCTTGTTCAAGTTTCTCTCCAGGCAGCTGACTGCTGCACGCTTCTCTGCAGAAGAGCTCCGAGTTGCATTAAACGATTCAGTATTCCCACCAGGCACTGTTTGTCAAGCCTTGGCAGCTGATGCCAAATACAACTGGCTAAGCCCCTTGTTAGGTGGCTGTGCCTTTGCGCTGACCTTCTGTACGCTGTGCCTGCTGTTGACTGATTCTGCTTTGGAAGAGCTGAGAAATATATACTTTTTTTTTTTTTTTTTCTTGCTTGCTTTTATTCCCCTCTGCTTCATTTTGTTCCAGTTCTTACTGGACGTGCTTGGCAAGATGGAGCCGCCAACCTCCTCCAGGCTCAATTCCCGAAAGAGAAGAAAAGATGGATCTGGCCCCAATGGGGCCACAGAGCTGGATGGAATCCCTCCAAAAATGTGCCGACGCTCATTTGTAAGTAAGCAGAGATAGGAGCTGTAGGTGCCTGTGAGACTGGGCCGTAACAGCAGAAAGATAAATGTGATGGCTTTTCTGTGGACACAGAAAACAAGGGGGGGGCGGAGAAGCAAATGACAGTTGCTGCCCTTCTTGCAAAGCCAGTTTAAAATCTTCCTGTGTTCATACTAATAACATACTTACAACGTGGGCTTAAATTAGGTCTGAGGCAAGCATCACTAAGCTGCTTTTGTGGTGTGTCCAGCTTGTTCGTATCACTAAAGATGTACCTGAACAGGCATGCATGTAGATACCCGTGGAGAAGTAAGCATTCGTTTCCCACAGGTGGGTTTGCTTAAGTGACCCAGTGGGAGGGAGGAATACTCCAAACAAGCATGTAACAACTCATGCATCTAACAGAAAGTGGTTGTGTTCAAATCAGGGAGCTGCAGGAGGGTCTGAAGTCTGTAAGCACCTGCAGAAGGAAGCTATTGAATCCGTGCTCTGAAACACTGGGAAGGTGACTGTTCGTTTGATTCTCCTGCTCATTTATGTTGCTGATACTTCAGGAGTATTCATTTGAGAGGGAAAAAAAAATTCCTCCTTATGGATCAGCCTTGGGACAGCTGTAACAAACTAGTGGAGTCTCTTCTCAAGGGAGAAAATTAACTGTGCCAGTTAATGCCAGTGTGAAGAGCTGACTTTAACTTGTCCTTGCCACAGTATTGCAATGATGGGCTTTTTACATTTCTTCTCTGCCCTGTTCCTGGAGCTGTCTTGCATATCACCTGTGCTGTAGTTGCTCTTTCCTTATCTCTGTCAAATGCCAGCTACCATCCCTGCCACGTCATATTGGGGTCATAGTCCTTGGCAAAATACCGTGATGAGTTGCAGCTTTCTCCTTTGGTAACAACGTTGTGCTCTTCAGGAGCTCTTCAGTCCTGTCCCAGGGCATTGGACAGATGGTAAGGAAGTAAGAGCAGCACCAGCAGTGAGAACTGGGGAGGCAAGCTTGGGGAATGGAGGCTTGAGCTGTTCCGTGTCTTATCTTACAGAACCTTAATATCCTTGATCGTGGTTAAAACCCACCCTGTCCCTCTTAAAGACCTCACGTATTTCGGTAAGGAAAGAGAATTGTGCAGGTTAATCCATGGGAATCACTTGCTTTTCAAGTTGGTGTCTGTCCTGTGTTAGAAATAAAGCATTTGTCTATGAACAGCACAAGACAAATAACACCTAGCCACTTCCTGAACTTCCTGGCTGTTCTTCAGCCACAGGGCTAAAGCAGACGTCCTGATGAAAGATTTGGTTTTTTCTTCCTTTTGTGAAAGATTTATTTATTGTAGCAAGAGTAATAGTGTTGCCTGACTGTGACATTACCTTGAAGCTTTTACTGCTCCCAGCTAAACAACTGGCTGGCAGAGCGTTCCCCTAAAGCAGCAGGGCTCAACAGCAGATGGTAGTACCAAGCCTGCTGACGCACAAGCCTGTTGTACTGTGCACATCACATTGAGTCCTGACCCTCGTAGGCACTGCAGAGGAAGGGTAAGACTGTGGCAGGAGCTTTTGAGGGCATTTCTCTGTGATCTTCTGAGAATTTTGATAGGTTTTAGTACTCTTATTCCTAGTTTCGTATCAGGTATGTGACAACCAAATTGCGAAGAATCTGGTTTTATTCTCAAGTCCCAGATATGATGGCAGTGATGAAAAGAGAGACCTGCAGGCCTTAACCTGACAGTAAGGATCCTGGTAGAGGAGGTGGTGGGTGAAACGTGGGTACTGGAGCCTTGGTAGGTTAAAGGAGATTTTAGGCAGGATAGGTTTGCTTGAATGTCCTGGTCAGTGGTTGCTTTCCTGTGCGCTTCACTTTGAGAGCTCTAATAAGGAATGACAATAGCAATAATAGCAGTGGTCTTTCTGGTTGCAGTGGTGCTGGGCACCGTGGCAGGATGCTGCAATGGGACAGAGAGCCAGAGAGGAAACCGCTGATTAGCTTTTTGCAGCTTGAAGGTATCACAGTGATCATCTGCAAGCTTGTTTCCTAGTCTTCTGACTGAGGAAAGAGACGTCCATTGCTGGCCCACACCTTCTGGCTAGAAGGAAATTGAGCTATTTGTTCTGTTATGGGAAGGGCAGATGTTTTGTTCCCATTCTGAGGAGACCAGAAATGATACCTGGACTTCAGCTGCTGATTAAACATACTGATGTGGTCAAGCTAGCAGATTAGAGGTGTTTTCCTGCAGCCATTGGAGATACTGTGCCGCAGGTTGAGGTCAGTTCTCACAGTGTATGGCTCGTAAAGGGGTGACGATACACACGTACCCTGGGAATATGTGCTGCTGTTGGTATTGCTCTTCTGCTTGTTCATATACTCAAATTGAGGAGCTGTTACAATTTGTACGTCACAGCACAAACACTCAGGCACAGCAGAGGGATGATCTTGCCTGGGTAGGCATAGCTGGGGCTGCGACAGTGAGGTTTGATGAAGCTTGGCTTGTGCTGCTGTGAACTGCTGTTTGTCAAAAGTCTGTTTTTACCAGCTGCACATCTAAGCCTCCAGTTTTCTTGGGTCCAGTATGACTACCACCTTCTTAACTTTTCTCTCTCTCTTCCTCTCTAAACTCAGAGTAATCACCCTGCAGGGTTGTTTTGAGGTTTAACACTAATTAGTCTTTCGGTGCATGTGTTTGAGTCGTGCGGAGACAGTGAGTCACTCCGTGACTGGGACACTGCAGTCACAGTGCTGCCGCTACGTAATGCCCTCACCTTTGCATTCTCACAGCTAATCTTCTCTGGTGGTTTAGGGACTGAGAGAACCGGCTCCATTTTCAGATGAAGTGGAAATCGATTACAGCAAGCCATACATCAGGGTAACATACGAAGAAGCGATGAGAGGGACCCCTTGTAAGTAAAACAACAGACGGGAAGGGTTGTATGAATGTTGGCTGGGGAGGGATGGGTATGGTTTTAATATCTCTGAGACCGAACCAACCTTGTGTGTCAGACCAGGTTTGCAGTCAATGACTTAGTTAATGCTTTGATGATAAGATGACTGTTCCCATGTGAAAATGGGCCTGTCATTACAACTGAAGTTGGAGCTTGTGTGTGTGAAGAGCTGTACCTTCACCAGTAGGAGTATTTGAAGCAAGTGGATATTTGTGTTTTAGCTCTTCCTGTGCCACTGACAGCTATAAAGTAGTATCAGAATTAAACATTTTTCTGTACTTTGTCTGAGGCAGCTTAAAGTTAAGCACTTTAAGTTACCTCTTCTGAAACTTGAAATGGGCAAGTAAAACCAACATACGCCTTTGCCCAGAATGTCCCATTCTAGCCTGGATTCGAATTAAAGTCACATTAAACACAGTAGGCCAGCCCCACAACAAGAACATGTCCTTTTATTCTCAAAACCAGGCAGGAGAAACGCTGTTCTCTTTGCAAGTCCAAAGGGGAGGCAGAGGCAGGACAGACTCCTGAAGGATGGCTGCCCTCTTTTGCCAGAGCGTGTAGCCAGTGCTGTCTTACTCAGCCTCTCTGGTACGGAAACCGAGACAATAAAACTGCTTCACTTCTACCTACCTGGCTGCTGCCGAGAGATGAGCCAGCTCAGATTGAGACCTGGCAGTGGTTTCCTGCAGGAGGTTCTGGAAATCCGATGCTTTTCACAGTCCCCATTAATTCTCCAGCTGAAAGTCTCCGGAGCCTACACAAAGGTCACTGATTTCAACAGTGATGGCTTTCCTGCCTGCTAAGACTAAAATACACTGCATGCTTCCTTGTTGCTTTTTATTTCTGTGCTCAGGAACTGTAGCTGCTGCAGGTACGGAGGAAACGAGAAGGATATCCCAGCCAATTTCCAGAACACAATTGCACTTTAATAAAGGCCTGCCAAGACCAGCCCTCTTCTGGCATACAGAAAGCTCTTGCAGTCTCAGATCTCCCAATCCTTGGCTCTCAAGAGCCTCCTGGCATCTTCAGACTGAGGTGGATTTGCTGAAAAGTGATTGTAAGAGTCTGTCCTCAAACTGACTCCTCTACTTAGCTGGAATTTAACAACCCTAGCTTTGCATCAACTCCTCTTGCTACTTCCCAGGCTTTGTCTCTTAAGTACCTTCAGGGCCCTGCCCCGACCCTTGGGGTTGGTGCAGCTTTGGTGTGTCTCTGCTCGCACTGCTCCTCTGAGTGAGTCTGCCTGAATTGGGCTCGAGAGCAGCAGGCCATTCCCAGGTGTGTTGGATACCAAGAATATGTGGCTTTCTGTTACCGGGTCCTGTATAGTCCCAGGAGACCCGAAGTCAGGGAGCCTCCTGCTATTATGTGGCAGTGCCAGACTACGTCACTTTACCTCTGTGCTGGCCTCAAAGAGAAGAGCTACATTTTCCTCTGGCAGAGGTGGCCTGAGGAAAGTTTTGTTCCAGCTGGGTTTTTCGACACAGCCACACACTTCATGGAAAGGGCCAATGATGCTGATGGGGAATCAGAACAGTCTAGTCCCTCAGCCAGGCTGGTAGCTGCGGCAGTGGGCTGCAGAGGAGGAGCCTCAAAAGGTCTGGAGATGTTGTCCTGGCTGACAGGGGGAAATAGGGCACCTATGAAACATTTTGGCCAGTTCTCCTCTGGTAGCTCACTGCTGTGCAAAGTTAGTGCTGCATTTGGATTTCCACAGGAGGGAGATGTCCAGGGTTTGCTTTCCCCTTGGTCTCCCTTCATCTTGTTTTGGTGGATATGAGGTAGGTTTTGAGCCTGTCTTTGAACATGGTTGCATTTCAGCTCCGTGCACTGCTGCGTTTGTTTCCACGGGGGAAGGCAGAGAGCCAACCATTTCTCTTCACAAATCTTTCCTGGCTGTGGCTCTGCATTCTGCCAGTTTTCTGCAACACCCTCGTGAGTTTTAGAAGGTCCCAAATGCAGACATGAGCAGCAGCTGCTTCTCCAGGAAGGCATCTTCACAAATGTGTCTCTGTCTCTTTGGCACAGTGGATCGCCCTGTCAGAGTTTATGCCGATGGAATATTTGACTTGTTTCACTCCGGACATGCCCGGGCCTTGATGCAGGCGAAGAACCTTTTCCCAAACACATACCTCATTGTTGGAGGTAAGGAGTGACCTTGTTGACTTTGGCTGTTGCAGTACAGCTTACCTCCGTCCGTGGTTGTGCATACAGATGGCATAGCAGGGGTTTTGTCTTCATGGCCTTAGTAGCTCTCACTGCATCCCAAATGTTCTTGAAGTTTACTGCAATATATTGAGAGTTAGTATGTCTGCAGAAAGATGTCCTGTATCAAATGAGTGCTTGAGGAAGAGATTTCTGATCAGGCTGTTCTAATTTAACCCCTCTATTTTGAGACAGATACAGGTGAGTTGCATGTCTGAGTGTCAAAATATGTTAGGGCCAGTTGAGGATCTGCCGCTTGAACGAGACAGTTAACGAATGAGGAGCAGTCCCTCCGTGGCTGGTTGAGCTTTGTGTCACCTGTATTGCCCTGCACGTCGCGCCCCCACTCCAGCTCTCTGCTGGGAGTTGCTTATGGTAAATCCCAAATGGGTTCCGCTACGAGTGTGGGGAGAACGGCAGTTCCATGGGCATGGTGCCTGGCCACATGGAAGTCAGTGAGACCCCATTTCTGCAAACAGAAGTTCCCTGTTTTGTTTGTTAGGTTAAATGGTCTTGAGATGATGCCAGGAATATCCTGTTGACTGCCTGAGAAGATCTAGCAGAGGCGTTTCAGCCAGGCATCCTTCAAGAATATAACGGGGAAGAAGAAACCCTTTCTTCTGGCTGCTGTAATACGCTGGCCTCTGTCCACACAGTGCCTCTGCGCCTGTGTCTTCACCCACCTTCAAGACGTGTCAGGCTGTGCACGTTGTCTGTCAGGAGGTGACCTCTGATCAGGCTGCATAATGATGTTAAATATCAGAGCTGAGAACACCTTTTAATTAGTTTTCTGAACTACCGTTAGCTTCCTGAAGCAAAGCAAAACTGATCCTGCAGTAGGGCCATCGTAACGTCTTTTGTGGTTTGTTTCCTTGTCACAGTCACTGCTGAGGGTATTTTTGTAGTGGTAGTTCTGTATTTTTTGTGTGTGCTGCAGTAGTTTGGGGGAGGGGAAGGGAAGGAGGAGAGCTACAATAGTTGCTCCAACCTACAAAACGCTCTGAGCTTAGACATCTTGCAGTCAAAAAGACATCCCCACATACATCAGACAGGACAATAACTTCAGGTCAAACTATTAACATGTTAATGTAGCGAGGTGTGTAACCGTGCTGTCTAACTGGTGAGGAGGCGGAGGGCAGTGATCTGCTCCCCTTGCACCAGGAACCGAGAGACAAGAGGCCACAGCCCCAGTGGACATAAGCTCCAAGCTGGGAGCAGTCTCACCCGCTCTTTATCATCTGTTTGTCTACAACATAAATACATCTAATACCAGTGAGACTGGTAATGCCTTGGTTTACTTTTGAGTCTGATAACCAAATAAAACTTCCTCCTTCTCAGTGTCTTACACTGCAGATTATGAAGAGTTGTTCATTTACTTTCCCATAGAACATAATAATTAAACTAACTTGATTTGCTGTGAACTCACCTTTTGTTTTAATACAGCTTTCCAAGGACTAGACTGTGGTATGGCACTTTGTGAAACAAGGAGCATAGGGAATGTGGGTTTTTTTCATGGGCTTTAGTTTCCAAGCCTGAGACTTTCATAGGTTCATGAGCAGGTTTCTGCCTGATGGAGCCGCAGGTGCCATTTCATACAGAAGAGTTGTCTTCTGTATTGGCTGGTTTTCTTGGTAATCATTGTAGGCTCTGGAAATCTTGAGGGCCTGGGGTGCAGGTCCCTGGCTTGGGCAGAAAGACCCCATACAGGCTCCCTAGAATTGCTCAGGAGTTTGGTGCCTTGCACCACTTGCTGTTCCCGGTGCTTTGTGGCTGGAGGAGCTGGGTTTCAAAGTGCCAGCGCCAGCCTCCCTCGGCAGCGGGAACGGCCTGTCTTAGCAGCGGTGTGCGCAAGGTCCTGTTGCTGGAAAGCGTTGGGGTAAGTACCTCAGGCTCACTCTGCTCTGTGCCTCTTTCTTCAGTCTGCAGCGATGAGCTAACCCATAACTTCAAGGGCTTCACAGTCATGAATGAAAATGAGCGGTATGACGCTGTGCAGCACTGTCGCTATGTGGACGAAGTGGTGAGAAATGCGCCGTGGACGCTCACCCCCGAGTTCCTGGCAGAGCACAGGGTAATTTGTGACATCTGATCTGTTCTGAATTTTGATTAGCCCCTGTCTGTGCTTGCTATTTACAGCAAGAATTCGTCCATGGGGTGACCTCTGCCTGAGCAACCCATTTCTGCTGAAACTCCTTAAACATAGAATGAACTAGGTTATGGGAATCGAGTGGGTTTCTTGGGAAACTAGAAGCATTTGCTGAGCTCGCAGGTAATGTTAAAATAAGGTAGAGATTGCGATGGTGAAAAAGCCTGAGAGGGTTCTCGCTGTTTCAGGAGAAGTTGGTGCTGATTACAGACTGATGTGAAACACAGTAGGGAGAGGATAATGTGGGTTAAAAGGGTTTTCTGGAGGGCATCTGGTCCAGTTCCCTGCTTACAGCAGGAGCTGCTTAGGTCTACATCAGCTTCCCTGCAGCAGGAGACCAGACAAGCTCCCTTGTGAGTGTTCTATAAGTTGGTAAGATTAAGTGAAAGGAATCTCTTAACATCTGTTGAACTGCTTTGGGGGGTGAGGGAGTCTCCAGGCGAGTTTGCTTAGTTTTACCTTGTTGCCTTTAACAAGCCATTTCTCTGTGGAGCTTGAAACAGTTGTGTCCTTAGTCCCAGCCTTTTCTCTCTGGTGTGTGCTTACAATTGATGCGCAATTGCCAGTGAGAACTTGGGACTGTTCTGTGTTGCTTTTTAAGAGGAAAGTGTCTTGCTGTTCTCTGTCACGCCCCTGCGTGGAGGTGTTGAGCAAAAACTTACCATCCTTTGACAAAGACCTGCACGTTTGAGATAAAATGTTGACTGGCACTGCTTCCTTAATTTTCAGATTGATTTTGTTGCACACGATGACATCCCCTATTCTTCTGCTGGCAGCGATGATGTGTATAAGCATATAAAAGAAGCAGGTGGGTCTGGGTCAGATTCTCCAGGGCTTCCTGTCAAAGATCTGCTGTAGTTTCTCCTGTGCCCAGTACGGCAGGGTTACACCTGGAGCAGTGGCCCTCTGGGAACAAGCCAGGGCTGGAAGAATCCCAGCTTTTGGCCATACTTCTTAAGGCTAGGACTGTTACATGTCCCAGGCCAAGCATTGCCCAGCATTAATTCCTACTTCCAATCTAGTTATTCTAATTGAGCTAACATCCACCTTTTGTAAAAATACTGCGGTTTGGCTTACAGTTTCTCACAAATGGAGACTCTCACAAACTTAGCAAAGTGGCTCCTCTAGCTGTTTACTGTAGAACTCAGTGGGGGTGCAGCTTATTTAAATCTATGCAAACCCAGCCATCAGAGGTTGTTATACTTCTGCCCACTAATTTGTAGGACCCCTTGTCCTGTCCTTGTCACCACACTATTCTATATGCAGTGGATTGTAGTCAATGGTCTTTAAACTAGCTAAAAACAAGAGCTTTTCCTTAGAGGAGATGGTATTTTGACGTGACTCATAGAATGCTTTGGGTTGGAAGGGACATTTGGAGGCCATCTAGCCCAACTCCCCTGCAGTGAGCAGGGACATCTTCAATTCAATCAGGTTGCTCAGAGCTCCGTGCAGCCTGGCCTTGAATGTTTCCAGGGATGGGGCCTCCACATGGCATTATGGCATGCTTTGGTCTTACTTGGGTCTTCCTCATAGTCCCAGAAGGGAAGACCCTGGTGTTGTGCATTCAAGGACAAAGACATGGCGGTGTGAGGACAGTTAGAAAATGAGCTCTTGACAGGAGAGATTGTTTCCTAATAGAGGTGGCAGCAGCTTTTTGCCGTGTGTCTTGCTACAGCTGTCCTGGGTCCTGTTCCCCACCTCTAGGCATGTTTGCGCCAACTCAGAGGACTGAGGGGATCTCAACGTCAGATATCATCACCCGGATTGTGCGGGACTACGATGTTTATGCCAGACGGAACCTGCAGCGGGGCTACACAGCTAAAGAGCTCAACGTCAGCTTCATAAATGTGAGTTGAAGCCTGTCTCACCACCAGCTGCATGAAGCAGAATCTTACACAGTGTGGAGATGTAGAGTACGGTCCTGCCGTGTGCCAGTAAAAGGCCAGTCTGCAGAGCTAAGCAGTTACACCAAACCAGTGTCCTTGGAGTAGAAACTAGATTACTTCTGCCCCTGAAACTGCCTCTGGGACCCACCCAGAGGAACTGGGGTTTTGCTAATACTGCTCCATTGTCAGATATGTCTTGGTGACATTTTACCTGTTGAAAGAGCTGGAGACAGGGTGTGTGGCAAAACGTGTGTCTTGAATTGAATGAAGCGTGGGTTGTTCTTGACAGCAGCTGCTGTTTCTCATCTCTCTCCTCTTCCCTCAGCCACCTTCTTAAGCTGGAGTTATTTGTTAGTATAAAATCTGATACTGTTCTCACAGTACTGTTCCCTTCCTGGAGCTGCAGGACCAGCAGTGCTTGGGTAGGAGAGAAGGACCATGCTCTGATCCTGTGCTGAGCAGCTCTAGCCCACAAGCAGAGTACATGGCAGAAAGCATTTCTGATGTTTGAAGTAAAGTAGTAAACGCTTTTTTTTTTTTTATCACCCAGATACTATGCATATTTTTTTAAATACAATCAAATACAGAAAAGAAACAGGAGAGGTAACGACTGCTTGGCCTCTCTTTGGCATGTAGCTCTCCCTCTGTTTAAAAACACCCAGCAAAAAGACTTGTGCTATCGTGATATGCAGAGACCTACAGCAGGTCACTCCCATCTAATCTGTATATTGTATAAATATTTCCCTCTTCTATGCGCTCCTATTAGATAGTGCTTATCTCTGGGTTTAGTCTTGCTCTGTGTACTGCGCCAGTGCCTGCCACAAAGCATCTCACAGTCCCACTGTGTCTGCCATTTAGTCTAGGGAAGAAGTGTCACTGAAGTGAAGGAGGAGTGTCACAAGACTAATGGAGATGCTGAGTCTTAAGCAGCAGTTCAGTGTAATACAGAGCAGAGGTGGTCGCCACTCAGATCTGGTGAGCTGTATTCCTATCCACCGCTTACTGTACAGGAGAAGAAATACCACCTCCAGGAGCGCGTGGATAAGGTGAAAAAAAGGGTGAAGGATGTAGAGGAGAAGTCAAAGGAATTTGTCCAGAAAGTGGAGGAGAAGAGCATTGATCTCATTCAGAAGTGGGAAGAGAAGTCCCGGGAGTTCATCGGCAATTTCCTGGAGATGTTTGGCCCAGAAGGCGCATTGGTAAGGAACCTCTCTGGGAAAAGGGGAAAGGGGATTTTGGAGAGTTCAGCAGTCATTGTAGGGCTTCTGGAGCCCACAGTCTGCAGAGCAGAGGTTTACGGTTTGTTGCAGTGCTCGGTGTGCTACCAGTCTCCAGATAAGTCGTCCCAGGCTTGGGCAGCCTGTTTACAGGGAGCCCTCACCCTTGCCAACTGGATAACACCAGTTATGGCTGTAGGGTGGAAAGCCCCCATGTCCCACAAGCTGGCCTGTAAGCTCCGGCTTGTGTCCTGCAGGCCACTGAGCAGCCGAGAGGTTGGCTGTCACTTTGTCACTGGCCTGGGATGAGTCGGAAGCTACTTGGTTTTGCCAGGCTCTCCTGTGCTGTAAATATCACAGGCACCTGATGTTAGAGGTGCTTGAAAATGGGTGATGATTACACTGCGTGGCTCCCAAAGCCTTGAGCGGTGGTCAGGCTTTTTCTACTCTTACATTGCATGAAACATTGAAGGGACACAACAACCCCAAATGCTGCGCAAGCTGTGAGTAGTGTCCATGTCTGTCGCTGTTTGAGCCATGCTAACTGTCTTCCTGCTTCCATCGTTAGAAACACATGCTGAAGGAGGGCAAGGGCCGGATGCTGCAGGCCATCAGCCCGAAGCAGAGTCCCAGCAGTAGCCCCACGCATGACCGCTCCCCGTCTCCCTCCTTCCGCTGGCCCTTTTCGACCAAGACTCCTCCTTCCTCGCCGGCCAACCGCTCCAGGAACAAGTCTGCAGTCACCTATGACATCAGTGAGGATGAAGAAGATTAAGCTACCAGCCAGGATTTGCTGCGAACCGCTAATCACCGAATCCTAAGTCCAGACCCACTGGGGAACTCTAAATGAGCGAGAGCGCCAAAGGAACAGGGCTGGCGGTGAGCACAGGGCCTTGGAGGCGCCCGTTGCTCTTAGCAAGGGCTGCTGCCTGGAAGCACAGTCAAACCTCCTCTCCCTTCTCCCCAAATCCCCTTTTTATTGTTTACGTTCTAGTGGTTTCCAGAGGGAAGAAGGTTTTTACATTTTAAGAAAATGCTCTTTCAAAGCTCAAAGAATAGCACTCAAGCGTGGCTTTTGTTTTGGTTTCTTTTCCCCTGCTAAACCTCCAGGCAAGAGGGAGAGTGGGAAGACCCATCTGTCTCTTCTTCCCTTCAGCTCCTCTGTCTTATTCCCCCCACCCCCAGGCAGTATCCGTGCCGCTGCCAAACGAAAGGCCCCCTCGGTTCCTCAACCAGCGTGACCTCGAGAGCACACAGGGAGCAGAGCGGTGGTGCACGGAGGCTTCTAGGAAAGACAGACATCTCCGCTGCGCTGGAGCCGACAGGAATCTGTCCGGCAGACCCTGTAGTGCTCCGCGCCTCTTTGCTGAGCTTCCCAGCGTGTCGCAGTGAGGACCTGCTGGGAGGGCACTGCCGGCTGAGCACGCAGGAGTTGCACCCTGGAAGAAGTCGCAGCACCACAGAGTCGCACACCCGCGGCATTCGCGGCTCCAAGCGTGTGCCGGGGCTGCCGGGGAAAGGCCTTTCCAGCTGATCTGAACAAAACTTGAGCTAAGGTTCAGCCCTCCGCTGCTGTTGGAGAGAAGAGAGTGAATCTTCGCTTCGGGGCGCTTGCTGTCTGCGTTTCCTTGAGTGTGTGAGAGCCCGGATAGGAAATGAATGTGTGTACTCCTTTGAGAAGTTCCCTGTCCCAGTCTCCGGTGTGTAGTGAGTTTTACTGTGTGTCCAAACAGCCCCTCAACACCGTGCTCTGTGCGTGTCTGTCTGTGTTTCAGTTGCTGCGCTCCAGGGGCTGGAGCAGTCCTTTACACTGGTGCCGTGAAGTCGCTGCTACGAGGACAAAGCGTGAATTCGTACAGCCCGTGTGCTGTCCGTGCCGGGGCGTGCAGCTGGACGATGAAGGGCACGTTTTACCCCAGTGAAGGGTCCCAGTCCCCTCTGACGGTTACCTGGCTTGCGCGATAAATGCACAAAGCTGTGCCCGCTTACTCCGCCCCTTGAAGTGGGCCGGAAGGAGCGTCAGAGAGCACTGCAGCTTTTTAAGTTTTTAAACATGTAACCTGCTCGTTGGAAACCACGGTCCAAGTCGTGCCTGCTGTTGTGTCTGTCATAAACACTGAGCTGTGTCGCTTGCAACTTCCCGCGGGCCGTTGCCCTCGCCGTGCTGCTTGCCCGTGTACAGAGCAGGTCGGGGCACTCTGTCCCAGCAGCCAGCACTGGAGGGACTGGGCTGTCTGCAGCAGCGCTGGGAAGCTCCCGCTTGCTTTGCTGTTCGGGTTTGCCTGCGATATCCGTTGTCTCTGGGCTGACCTGCCTGCGTCCTGCTGTGATGCTGGGAGCAGAGGACAGCTCGGAGCCCGTCAGCAGCGCTGCAGGGCGGTCTGCAGAGCGGGGCATGGGGCTTGAGGAGCATCGGGTGCAAGGAGGCGAGTCGTCAGGTGCTGCGGCAGGGTCTGCGCGGGGCGACGCCTCGGGGCCGCAGGGGCCCTGTGGCAGGAGCAGGCTGCCGCTTCTTGCCAGCTTTCATCTTGCTGATCCTTTGTCACGCTGCTCAAAGGGCTTGACGGAGGCTCTGTGCTGCTGTTGAGGCCAGAGCCGGCATGGGAAAGGCTGTCCTGAGGATTCCTCATCTGCCTCTTCGGCCTCTCAGCAGAGACGTGCACAGTGCTGGGAGGGTGGCTGGCTGCTGTGGGTTTTAAGCTGTAAGGAGCAAATAACGGTCACTTGGTACAAGCCTGTTGTTAATCCCCTGGTGTATGGGTGGTAGAGCATTTACTTTATATCACCCACGTTCTCGCTTCCCTCATCCTCCCCACCTTCCCTTCCTCACCCTTCCCTCAGCGTGGGTGTTTTGTTGCTTTCCCGAGCCAGATCACAAAAGCCAAGCTGCTTTAAAGCCTTACTACTGTTTTAAACACAAGTTGTGCAGCAGTGTTGTGTAATTTTGGAGAACAATGGTGTTTTGGATGGTGGTTTGTTCTGCAGAGACCGTAACGTATTTCTTCATCTCTCTGCAAAACCTGGGTGCTTGGTAAGAAGCCAGCCACGCATTTACATGTCGCTGGGAAGAAGAGAGCTGTTTCTTGTAACCAATAATCCTTGCTTCCTCCTTGCACTTAAATTAAAATGGACACTCGAATCCCAGACTGGTCTTTTTTTTTCTTTTCTCCTTTGTTTTTCTGTTTCCTCCTGAATCGCTGGACCAGCCTCATCTCCAGTGCTGCCCTGTCCTATCGGGAACAGGACAGAGCTTGAGCTTTGGGCAAGAGGTTTGAACCAAGTTCTTCAGGAACTTCTTGTTCCCTGGAGATACACCCAGTGCTGCTGCTTGGGGGCTGTCCTGCACACCCCTAACCCACCCCACGCTCTTCAACAGAAGCGTCTGAAAGAGGCATGCTTGAATTAAGCGTGAAGTAAGAGGTAGAGTGGAAAAATAAAACTTTACTAGCATGCATTGAAGAACACGTGGACTTTGATGCTGCTAAACCCAGAGGCATTGACTCGCGCGAGACAGCCCTACCTCGGTTCCTCTGTGAATCGGGGGTGCGAGGCTGCGGGCACCGGCAGCCAGCCCCTGGGAGAGGATTTTCTCATGGCAGAGAGCAGCAGCAGGGTAAAGCTGAACGGCGCCAAGGATGCTGGCAGGAGCAAGGTGTGATGCGTGTGGCACTTAATGGCATGCTGGTTAGGGCTGCAGGCGGAGGTTTGTAATCTCTTGAGGAAATTACGGCAGGCACCTGCGCTGACATGATTTTGTACGTTTTATAGAGGGTCGGGACTTTATTGTGGGGTCCGGTTCTTGTAACTGGAAGCAGAAGCTGGGGCAGCAAATATACGTGGCAGCAGCGGTGACCTTGGTGGGACAGACCCTGGGTCTTGCCCCCTGCCCTCGGGGTGGGCTTCTCGCTGCCAAGGGTCCCCTGGCATAAGGGTGGGGGTTCCCTGCCTGCCGCAGGTGAGGACCTGGGTCTGGCTGGCTGACGGCAGGGGACGGGGTCCGTATTTTGCTGCTTGCCTGGGTGTTGCTTCTTGGCAAAACCATGAGATTGGTGGGTCCCAGCGCTTCTCCCGGTGTTGACAATGGCCGTGTAGTGTTGCCAGGAGCCTGTCAAATTTGGCAACTCATCACAAATCACCGGTGCCTCTTCCAGCTGAGCGGTTTCGCTTTGAACACAGCCACCTGCAAAAGCTCTAAGTCACTTTTCCCCCCTCCTCAGCGGACAGAAAACTTGCTTTTTTTTCCCACAAAATGAATCAATGAAATAATTGGGAGCTTTGGCTTTCTGACTCTGCTTCCCCAACGTGTCACGCTGGGCAGAGGTACTACAGTGGGAGGGCACCAGGGTGCAGCTCAGGGGAGGCTTCGGTGGTGCCTGGCCGCAGGTTCTGGTCTTGGCGCTGATGATCTGGCATCTGCTGCCCATCTCCAGCCGCCCTGCATCACCCAGCCCTGCTGTTCAGCGTTTGCTGTGCTGGTTTCTCTGTACGGGCCGGTGTGCACACCATGTGTTTTACTGGCTTGTTCTGGAGTTGCGTTTTTGGCTTTTATGTTTAGCCAAATAAATGCAATGTCATTTTACTCGGTGTGTGCCAGATCCCTTCTGCGTCTTAGCACAGCCAGCTCCCGTCATGGTTTCCTCACCTGCCATCTTAGCAGCGGTTTGAGTGAGAAGTTGCTTCAGTGAGGGTCAAAAGATTACCCAGTGGTTTCTGCAGACATCATCGCTCCTGTTGCGTGTCCTCACCTGGGTTGTAGGTGTAAGGCAGACACTGCTACTGGAGCAGATCCCTGGCGAGGCTGGTTAGAGCAGCGTTAATTAATTGCATGTGTTACGAAGGTGCTTCAAGGCTCCTTCCTTTGCCTGGCCCCAGGGTGTGGGTGCTCCCACTGTGCTCTGAGGAGCAGCCACTGCTGTGGAGGATGTGCCCCAGGGATGGCCCAGACTCATCCAGAGGTCTTGGGAGAAAAGGCTGCTGCTCTGGCATTGCCTTGGCCCTCGGACCCCAGCCAGCAGCACCAGGAGGTCAGTGCCACTGCTGGGTGTTGGGCACCCCATGACAGCCCCGTGCCATGGCCGTGCTGGTCTGGGCTCCGTCTTCCTCCCCCTGTGTGGAGTCATCTCCCACCCAGCCTGGGCAGGAGGCCATCTGAGCCCAGTCACCAATGCAAGACTCGGACACAAATTTCTCTTTATTCAGTGCCAGACAGGAGCCTCCCGGGCTGGAGGCAGCTTCACAGATCACTTGGGCTTGTGGCTTTTGGGTTTCAGACCCTTTCACCCCACGCCGAGATGCCCTTTCCCCAGGGCTGGAGAAGGAGGAGGAGATGGTTGTACAGGGCGACCAGCGCAGCCCCTCACCTCGCTCTGCCCTTTGGCACCCCAGTTGCTCCCTCCTGCTCATGCCGTGACATCGGTGCCTGCGGGCGCGAAGCTGATGGGCTGGTAGCCTGGCTTGTCGTCCTGCTTGCGGTAGTACATCCGCGTCACCACCGCCAGGATGAAGGTTTGCGGGATCAACAGCTGCGTGTTCATCTCTGGAAGAGGAGAAGGGTCATCATCCACCATGCCCATTCCTCACCCCACACCGTGCGATGAAGGGGCTCGGCCAGGAGCAGGCGATGCTGCTTCCCTGCCTCCTGACTTACGCTGCGACCTGGCCTTGGAGGAGAAGGGCGGCGAGCAGGCGATGTTGCCGTTGTTGGCCAGGATGCTGAAGATGGCGGGCTGCAGTGCTGTCAGGATGAGGAGGACCTGCAACCACCAACACCCAAAGCGGTGGGGACCATCCTGCTGCCAGGCTCCTGCCCCACCGTCCCGGCCCTATGCTGCCTCATCCCGTCGTGCTGGAGGACCCCTCACCTAGGGAGGAGCTGGGCAGGACAGGTGCTCACCTGGAAGCAGAAGAACTTGGCCTTGATGTTCTGCTCCGTCAGGTGCAGCCGGGCCTGCCGGAAGAGGATGCCCAGGGCCCACAGCCCGAAGAGGGTGGAGGCGCCAACCACGGTGTTGATCCAGAGGGCCACGCTCTCCGCCGAGATCTGGGGACACACAGCAAACAAACCTGGGCTGGCAAAGCTGCTGGGCAAGGCGAGCGCCGGTGGACACTCCCCATCCAGGACGTCACCCTGTCCATCGCCATGCCCTGGCACTCACGTCAGCAGGGTTGTAGTTCCCATCGGTGGCCAGGACCAGCCCCAGGAAGACGGCGACCACCCTGCAGAAGGCATACTGGAAGGTCCCCAGCATCAGCAGTTGAAGCTTTCTCCTGGCACAGCGAGAGAGACTGCTAGCACCCCGAGGTCTCCAAGCCCCTTCCCAGGGACTTCTCTTCCACCCCAGCAGAAGCAGGGCAGAAAGCCTTCCCCAGGGACAGGGCGTTACCCCGTCTCTCCCTCACTTGTTCATGGAGATTCGGGGCAGGCAGGGGCAGCAGCAGCAGCAGGGCCCAGTGTTGATCATCATGGGCACATCCTTCAGGGTGCTGAGCACTGCCTCCTTCCCCCCAAAGCCCTCCACCATGACCAGCATCAGGAGGTAGAAGCAGATGGCGAAGTACCTGAGGAGGAAGGCAGCAGGTCGGGCCCCGTGGGCTCCCCAGTGTCCCTGCCCCCGGGGTAGGCAATACTCACATTACGGTAACCATCTCCACCACCATCATGGAGCGTGGGATCCACAGCCCGAAGCAGCTGATCACACACACAACCTGGGAGAGATGCGAGCTTGGCACACTGCTGCTCCCCCCTCCCAGGGGCTGGCACCCCTCGGGTGGCCCTGGCCCCCCGAAGCGATGCCCCCGACACCCCAGCTCACCGTAGGGGCTGAGCTGCTCCAGCAAAGGGTCTTCATCTTGATGGGGCAGCGGATCTTACGGGTGAGGTACAAAGCCTCTTCCACGAAGATCGCGACGGACAGCAGTGTCATGATGGTGGAGAGGCCCATGATGGCGAGTTGGGCCATGTCCAGCTCTGCCGGGGAGGGGGGAGAAGCCGGCTGCATCTGGTCCTGTTCCCCCTGGGGCCACCATGGCAGGGAACTGCCACCGGACCCACCACCCCACAGGCTTGGGAAGCCCCTGGCCGTGTCCTCAGCGCGTCCGGCCATGCCAGAGCTGGTGCTCCTGCCCCACGGCTCCAG